CTTTTTTCTTTTTGCTTATGTGGTGCTGAGGAATGGAACCCAGGGCCTCAAGCATGCAAGGCAAGCGCTCTACCACTGAGCCACCTTCCCAGCCCTTTCACAGATTTTCTTCCCCAGGCTGGCTTTGAACCATGATCCTCAGATCTCAGTCTTTTGAGTAGCTAGGATTATAGATGTGAGCAACCAGCACCTGAACAGAATAGGTACATTTGTAGACACATAGGAGATTATTGATTACCTCCGATGGAAGAAGGCAGAGGGGTTGGATACAAGGTTTCTCTCTGGAGGTAATGCAAATGATGGAAAAATAATGGTGAATGCCTAACTCTATAAATATATTAAAAATCTAATAGATGAATTGGATGGTATATAAATTGTATTTTAATGAACTTTTAGTTTCATTGTCTTTTAAAATCAATTTTAATATTTCAGATATATCAAATCTATTCCAAGCGATCTGCTGAAGATATTTACAAAATACTGACATCCTACAAAGCTAACTACCTAATCATAGAAGACTCTATCTGCAATGAGATGGGAACCATGAGTGGTTGTAGAGTTAAAGATTTATTAGATGTTGCAAATGGCCATGTAAGTATCTGAAAAGTTACTTTAGACTTTAATTTTGGAACATAACTAACTGGTGACTAATTCCTGTAATTCTAGCTACTCAGGAGGCGGCTGAGATCGGAGTGTCAAGTTTCAAACTCAGCTGAGACAGACAAATCCCTGAGAGTTTTATCTCCGGTTTACCTGCAAAAAGCTGTTAGTAGAGAGGTAGTTCAAGTGGTAGAATGCCTGCAAAGTGAAAAATGCAAGAGAGAGCACCAGGCCCTGAAGTACAAGCCCCTGTAGGAGCACTAGCATACACACAATAGATAGATAGATAGATAGATGCACATATATGCATATATTGTCTGTATATGTGAATGTGTTTTTGTCTGTATATAATATATATATATATATATATATATATATTTTTTTTTTTTTTTTTTTTTTTTTTTTTTTTTTTTGTCAGTCATGGGGCTTGAACTCTGGGCCTGGGCACTGTCCCTGAGCTCTTCAGCTCAAGGCGAGCATTCTACCACTTGAGCCACAGAGCCACTTCCATTTTCAGTAGTTGATTGGAGATAAGAGTCTCACAGACTGCCCAGGCTGGCTTTGAACCATGATCCTCAGATCTCAGCCTCCTGAGTAGCTAAGATTACAGGCGTGAGCCACCATCACCCGGGTTATATTTTTTTTTTTTACAAAGAAAAAAATACATTTACCAATACCAAAATTCCTTATTAATTGCATGTGCTTGTGTTGTGTTTTTCAATGTGCAAACATCTAGTCTTTTTTTTTTTTAATAATGCTGGGAATGAATCTAGGGCCTCATGGGCATGCAAATGTTCGACCACTGAGCTATACCCTCACCCAGTATTTATAAATAAAAGATTAATTAATTTAATTGGAATGATGATTTGATTATAATAACCTAAAGGGCAGCTAGTTACAGTGTTATATTCTTATATTTTTTAAACTTATTTATTTGTTTTGTTAGTTTGTGCCTTGAACACACGGTCTGGGCACTGTTCCTGAGCCCTTCAGCTCAAGGCTAATGCTCCACCATTTGAGCTACAGCACCACTTCTGGTTTTCTGGTGGTTAAATGGAGATAAGAGTCTTAGCAGCCAGGTACCAGTGGCTCATGCCTGTAATCCTAGTTACTCAGGAGGCTGAGATCTGATCATGGTTCAAAGCCAGCCTGGGTAGGAAAGGCCAAGAGACTGTCCAAGAAACCACCAGAAAACTGGAAGTGGCCACTGTGGCTCAAGTGGTAGAGTGCTCACCTTGAGCTGAAGAGCTAAGGGACAGCACCCAGGCCCAGAGTTCAAGCCCCATGACCAACAAAAAATAAAAACAAAAAATAGTGTCTCAGGACTTTGCTGTCCAGGTTGGCTTTGAACTGTGGTCCTCAGATCTCAGCCTCCTGAGTAGCTAGGTTTATAGGTGTGAGCCAGCAGCTCTCAGCACAGTCACATTCTTATGTTGAGTAATCTTATGTAATTTGATTCATAGCTAGAAAAAATGATTTTACCAATTAACATAGGACATGTGCAATGAATCCTTATTATGCAGTGTGATCAGAGTGACTTCAGTTGTTAGGATGTAGCTGGATGTTAATTTTTACATCAACTACAGCTTTTTGTTGTGGTGGTTTAAAATATTTTATTTGTGCAGTAGGATCGGGTCAGATGTCTATATAGGATTTTCTTTGTATAAGACAGTCATATAGGGGCTGGGAAGGTGGCTCAGTGGTAGAGTGCTTGCCTTGCATGCCTGAGGCCCTGCGTTTGATTCCTCAGCACCACATAAGCAAAAAGAAAAAAGCTGGAAGTGGCGCTGTGGCTCAAGTTGATAGAGTGCTAGCCTTGAGCTGAAGAGCTGAGGAACAGCGCCCAGGCCCAGAGTTCAGGCCCCACAACTGGACCCAAAAAAAAGAGGATCATGGTTCAAAGCCAGCCTGGGCAGGAAAGTCGGTGAGACTCTTTATCTCCAATAAACCACTCAAAAACGGAAGTGGCACTGTGGCTCAAGTGGTAGAGTGCTCACCTTGAGCTGAAGAGCGCAGGGACAGCTCCCAGACCCAGAGTTCAAGCCCCAGGACCAACCAAAAAAAAAAATTCACATTTGTGCTTCAGACTAGTGCTCTACCACTTGAACCACAGCTCCCTTTATGGCTATTTTGGTAGCTAATTGGATGTAAGAGTCTCATGGGCTTTTCTGCTGGGCTGGTTTTGAGCTGTGATTCTCAGATCTCAGCCTCCTGAGTGGGTGGGATTACAGTAGTGAGCCATCTGTGCTTGGCCCCTCCTTTTAAAGTTGACTTTCTGATATCTTTGATAGATATTAAGATTCTATTTATTATCTTATTACTTTATTCAAATGCTGTACTACTAAGGTACATATCCAGCAAGCATTTTACTGTTTTAAAAAGCCTGAAAGTAAGTTGAGTTGTCTTAGTTTATTTTAGGTAATTAGGTAATTATCAATCTATATTCAAGAGTAGGAATACAGAGTAGGATTATAATGTGTTCACTTTTCAGCCTTATCAAGTTCTGTGATTTGGTTTTTCAGAGGAAACTGTCTGTAAATTATGGGATTACATCTTTTAATAATTAGAAACATTTTTGTACTCATTTATCAATCTGATAGAAACTTCAGGAGTTTAGTAGACATGATGACTTATGACAAGTCTTACATTTGCTAAAAAGTGTGAGGTATTTTATAGTTCATGTTTAGCAGTAATATATATATATATATATATATTATATATATATAATACACACACACACACACACACACACACACACACACACGTATGGGCTTGGGCGCTGTCCCTCAGCTCTTCAGCTCAAGCCAAGCTCTCTACCACTTGAGCCACAACACCACTTCTGGTTTCTAGTGGTTTACTGGAGATAAGAGTCGCACAGACTTTCCTGCCGGGGCTGGCTTTGAACCATGATCCTCAGATCTCGGCCTCCTGAGTAGCTAGGATTACAGGCCACCAGTGCCTGGCAGCAATAATATTTTTCATGTCAAATGTATAAGGATTTGTACATTGGTTACTTGTACATGGATTGCATTTTTCTCATTAATTTCAATAAACTTAAACATTGTATTTCTTTTCTTTTGATAGGTAGTTTGTGAAGAAGGTGACAAGTTAACCTACTCAAAATATGGACGGTTTTGTCACGAGGTCAAAATTAACTATTCTCCATATGTGAATTATTTCACTAGAGTATACTGGAACAGGTCCTACTTTGTGTATAAAATCAACACTGTGATCTCCTTCCAATCTTGAAAAGTAACGAGTCTTCATTTCCAAGACTGAAGTTACTTGACTTAAATGTGATTTTCTTCTACCTATGTGGTGTCTGTTGCAGATCAGAGTTTGGACATTCAAAATGCTGCTGCTGCTTCTCTCTTGCTGTTAACCATGTCCAAGGTTTTGAGGGAAACAGAAAATCTAGAATTAACTTTCTCTGGTAAAATGTCAATTCTACTCTGCAATATTCCAGACAGTTCCTTCCTTACTATTACATGGTCTTTAAGATTTCTACAATGTTTCTCTATAATTCATTCTATCATAATACTGATCTTGAATATGTTCAAGTTCAAAATCTATTTCATATACATAATATTTAATACATATTTAATGTTATAATAGAAGGAAAGATCATTTTTCAAGCAAGTTTCTGAAGGTACTTAATGGCTTTATAACAATTAAAATTCTACAATAAACCAGTAATTTAAACATTAGTTGAAAACATGACATTTAAATTAAAATAAAAATTATATAAAGGAAAGTGAGTTGGCCGCCGATGGCTCATACCTGTAATCCTAACTACTCAGAAGGCTGAGATCTGAGGATTGCAGTTGAAAGCCAGCTAGGGCAGGAAAGTCCATGAGACTCTTATCTCCAATTCACCACCAGAAAACCAGAAGTGGTACAGTGGCGCTGTGGTTCAAGTGGTAAAGTGCTTGCCTTGAGCTCAGGAACTCAGGGACAGTGACTAGGCTGAAAGTTCAAGACCCACGACCAACCAAAAAAAGAAAAGGAAAATGAGTTTTAAGTATATACATAAAGATATATCCATAAGTTTTCATAAGACTGCTCTTAATCATTTGCTGCTTATGTGAGACTTTCTTAGAAACAGTGCATGTTATTATATTTTATTACTTTATGACTTGATTGGCTTTTTTTCTTTATGCCCATTAACTTTATTACAATTTCCTCATTATAAAACAATAATTCTTGTTACCTCTACGTATGTATTTTCAAATGGTCATTTAAAAGAATGTTGAGTGAGCCGGGCGCTGGTGGCTCACGCCTGTAATCCTAGCTACTCAGGAGGCTGAGATCTGAGGATCGCGTTCAGAGCCAGCCCGGGCAGGAGAGACCATGAGACCCCTATCTCCAATAACCACCAGAAAAACCGGAAGTGGCACTGTAGCTCAAGTGGTAGAGCGCTCACCTTGAGCTGAAGAGCTGAGGGACAGCGCCCAGGCCCAGAGTTCAGGCCCCATGACCGGACCCAAAAAAAAAAAATAGGGTATACAGTATATTCCCATTTTCTATGGTAGTATTAAATAAAAAACCTTGTCAGAATCAGTACACTACAAAGAGGATCTGTTTCTGGAAGTATATGCAGATACTGTTAAACATATATCTGCAGGGGCTGGAGGTTTAGCCCAGCGGAAGGGCATCTGCCCGGCGCACGCAAGGCCCTGGGTTCGGTCCTCAGCCCTGGAAAAAAACAACAACAACAAAAAACATATATCTGCATACAGGTATGTTTGTTTTAAAATGCAGATTACATTATTTGTGAAACTGATACTGTGTCATTGTTAGAGCAAAGCAACAGTTACATTTTCAATGCAAATTCATAGTACAAATACTATGTTCTTTTAAGTTTTCATATTCATAACCATTTATTAAAAGGAAAATAATTTGACCTTTTAAAGAGATTCACAGTAGGTGTAGTCTATAGATCATTTTCGTAAGATACATTTTAGTTTTATACACTGTTCAGTGAATAGGTTTTTACGCTTTTCACTTGTTATTAGAGTATTATAAAAAAATCACCTTCAGAACTCAATACTGTCTTTATTTTTTTAATTAAAATTTCTGCCATGTGCTGGTGGCTCACACCTATACTCAGGAGGTTGACGTCCTAGAGTCAAGCTTTGTTGCCAGCCAGGACAGGAAAGTCTATGACACTTTTATCTCTGATTAACCACCAAAATGCCAGAGTGGAGCTGTGGCTCAAGAGCCTTGAGCAAAAACCCTCAGGCACAGTGCTTATGCCCTGAGTTCAAGTCCCAGGACTGGCACACAAAAATTTTTTTTAAGTACATGATTTCTTAGAGTAACTCTAGGATACGTATAACAATTTCATTATTATAAAACAGTAACTCTTATAACCTCTATGTATTTTAAAAAATATTTTTATTGTAGTTGTAAAGGTGATGTACAGAGGGGTTACAGTTATTTAAGTCAGGTGAAGAGTATATTTCTTTTTTTCCAATGTCACTACCCTTGTTCTCTCCCAGTTTTCTATGTATATATTTTTAAATGATTATTTGGAGCTTAATTATTTGATAGCAGTGTCATACAACTGATGCATTTGTTTCATTGGTTCTCATTTTGCTCTTTTATATAATTGTCTAATTAAAGAGAATTATAGTGTTTTCCAGATCGACTCTGTACATCTTAGTAGTAAGCCAGTACTTAGCATTGAGTTTTATGAAACTATGACCATAGCTACCTGAGTACACAGTGAATAGTCACATGGTAGTACTTGTGATAAGAGCATGCAAAACAATGCAATTTAAATAAAACTCAGCTTGCATATTCAGAAAGAGAAGTAGACCATCCTATTTCTTATGTAGTATGAAACATTTGAATTTTTATTGCTATATTAAGATCACATGTGTTACTTTTGGTGATTTGGTGTGTTTTGTTTTTTGTTTACCATATTACTAAGCTGCTTCTACTTTTGTCAGCTTTTTCTTAAATAGTTTTGTAAATTTTTTAACTGAATTTTTAAGATAACTATTTTTTTATTCATCAGTGAAAGGGAAAAGTAAGCTTTATTCTGGAAGTGATGATCTTGGATATGAGAGATAGGGCTTATTTGCTTCTGTGTTACTATAGTTAAAAGTGCTAGACAATTTTGAGTTAGAAGCATGTATTTCCTTATTTTTAGAGTAACAAATGATTAAGAATCTGCAAGTACTTATTATATTTGGTAACTTAACAGGTGTTAAGTTTAACAACAAAGATCTATTAAAGGAACGAAGTTTATGGATCTTGGGTGGAAGGACTTTCTCCAAAAGGAAAAAACCCAAAACAACGATAAAACATACTTTGCCCTTAATAGGCAAATCCACTGAAATAAGTGCCTTACATTCTTTATTTCTGTATTCTTTAGTTTCTGTTTTCCCAAAAATATACATTTTCTTTTCCCTAATGAAATGTTAAATCTTTCCATGTTTATCAAAGGAGTGGAACTGGCAGTATAGCTCAGTGGTAGAGTACTTCCCTAGTATATCTGAAGCCCTAGGTTTGATCCTCAACAACACAATACTGTCAAAATAAAAAATTCTCCCTATGCTATTGTCACTACTAATTTCAATTCAGTAACAAATCTTTTTTAGCTTCCTAAACTAATTTAGCTTCCCAAATGCCAAATAGTCAACAAATGAAGCATACTTAATAAGTTATATAATATTGACTTGATATCTGTCAGTATCTTGGTGCTTTTTGTTAGACTGGTATAGTTTTACAACCTAAGGAGTATGTGTTGTACTTCACTCATTTTTTTCTAACTACTTTCTGTACATAGAGATTTTTCTTCTTTTCAGGACATTTAACCCAAATTGTGAATGGCCTCAATGTTCTGACACTCCATTCCATATAGTCCAAATTGATTCAAAAAATAGCAGAGATAGGAGCCAAAAGTGAGTTATAATTTGTGGCCAAAATGCTTAAAATAGATTCTTAGCCACACCAGTGACTTGTGTCTGTAATCCTAGATATTAAGAAAGCTGAGATCTGGAAATCATGATTTGAAGGCAGACTAGCCACAAAAATCCTTGAGATTCTTATCTCCAATTAACTAGCAAAATACTGGACTATAGGCCTCGCTCAAATAGTAGAGCACTAGCTGTGAGCAGAAAAATCCAAGCAAAAGTACAAGGCCTTGAGTTCAAGCCCTGATACCAACACTAAATAACAAGATTATTAAATTTTCTTAAGTTCCTTTATTTCAGAGAAATCAGTTTTTTCAGCCTCTTTTATTTTTGAACTATTAAAACATTTTTTATGTTTTGTGTGGATAAAAGTAGTGCCTCTTCAACTGGTGAAGTTGTGGATAGGCTGATCTTTGTCAAATTTATTTTTCATGCATGAATATTTAAAAGATATGTTGCAAATTATTCTCTGTATTTAAGAACCTTTTGATAAAACAGATAATCACTACTTTCTGATTTACATTTCAATGTATTTTCCATTTGTCCAGTTTTAAAAATGTATAGTCTCTCTTGTTGCTATTTGTAATTATTTTAGATCTCAGTATGTATTAAAATCATCCTTGAAAGTTGAAGTAAAATCAAATAATTTCTCATTGAAATTACTGTGTGTATAGTTAATACCTTAAATAAAATTAGATGTGAAAATTGCAAAGGAATACATAATATGACTCAAATTATTTTCTGTCAAGTAAAATTTCTGAACATTATATTTGTTTCCATGATAAAAAGGACATACTGAAACAAGATTTGTTGAGTTTAGTATAAAGGTCTCCTTGCATAATAACCACTGTTTAAAATATCTAGAATGTGCAACATCTTATTGTCAGTATGCATAATCCTATTGTAGTTTTATGAGAAATTCATTTAACTTGTGACTACTGAGTACATTTAGTGGACTAGTGATATCACAAAGAAATATACATATTGGTCTGGGAAGGTGGCTCAGTGGTAGAGTGCTTGCCTTGCATGCTTGAGGCCCTGGGTTTGATTCTTCAGCACCACATAAGCAGAAAAAAAAGCCGGAAGTGGCGTTGTGGCTCAAGTGGTAGAGCACTAGCCTTGAGCTGACGAGCTGAGGGACAGCTCCCAGGCCCAGAGTTCAGGCCCCGCGACCGGACCCAAAAAAAAAACAAAACATATCAAATTTATAGTGAAATAGCTCAAACTGCCTTTTCACATTTTAACAGCTTTTTGTTAATAGCTTTTAACAGATTAATACAATTGCCTTTATAAGTATTTTAACCTCCGAATCAATCTAAATATGTTTTGATTAAATATGCTCCTCTTTTAATGTTACATTTTTGCCAAAATATAGGAAATTTAGCTTGGGCCCTGGTGGCTCATGCCTATAAATCCTAACTACTCAGGAGACTGAGATCTGAAGGTCTTAGTTTGAAGCCTTCCTCTGCAGAAAAGTCCAAGTTCATAAGACATTTACCTAAAAATAAATAGCAGGGCTGGGAAGGTGGCTCAGTGGTAGAGCGCTTGCCTCGCATGCCTCAGCAGCACATAAGCAGAAAAAGCCGGAAGTGGCACTGTGGCTCAAGTGGTAGAGCCCTAGCCTTGAGCTAAAGAGCCGAGGGACAGCGCCCAGACCCAGAGTTCAGGCCCCAGGGCTGACAAATAAAATAAATAAATAGATAAATAAGTAACAGAAAGCCTGATGTAGATGTGTGGCTCAAATAAAAAGAGCACCAGCCTTGAGTGAAAAGCTAGGCAAGCATATGAGTCCCTGAGTACAAGCCACTATACCTGCACAGAAAACCCCAAACTTTTAGTAAATCTT